ACCATTAGATTGTGGTGAATAAGGTGGTGTTACTTCATGTATTATACCTTCATGTTCACAGAAGCTATCCAAGGCTAAATATTCACCTCCTGTATTTGATCTAATTCTTTTTATCCTTTTACTCAGTTGATTTTCTACTTCAGACTTATAGGATAAAAAGGCATTATGAGTATCATCTTTATTTCTTAGTAAATAAAGTTTAGTATATATAGAGTAATCATCTATAAAGGTAACATAATATCTTTTACCTCCTCTAGTCATAGTTTGTTTCAAATCATCTAAGTGTGTATGAATTAAAGTTAATAATTCAGTTTCTCTTTGGACACTTACACAACTTTTCTTTGTTATTTTGGTTTCTGCACATATTTTACATTTGTGTATTTTATCATTAATACCAGAAATTAGGCCACTAAATTGCATTTTCTTTATATAACTTGCGTTAACATGCCCTAATCTAGCATGCCATAAAGAAATTGAATCAACAATATAAGCCAGATGAAGATGCATTTTCATTGATCACATTTGAAAGAATTTGTAAAATAGTATGCCGACATACCTTATTGACATATTGCCAAGATTCTTGCATCTTGACACCCGTAGTTGTAGGTGGTTGTATTTCTGTCGATGCATAGGCTACTCAATGAATGTCGAGTAGAAAGTGCATACGTTCTTGCCACCTTTTGAAGTTTTTATTGGCAAAAACTTCAATTTTGGATACGTCTGGAAAAGGTTTAGCCAAACGTAGTGCGACTGCAACTGATCCTGGTACAGGTTGCGAGGTGTTAATATTGTTGGAGGCCATAGTTTCTTAGATTGTTGTCGAAATGGCCACAACAATGTTAACACTATTGCTTGAGTCGTGCTTAGCACTGTCCTAAGAAATTATTTCATAAAATTGAATGTCTCTCCAGGATTAAGCAAACCTTCTTCTATTTATTGCGAACAAGAAAGATAAGGTTTCTTCTTGTTGCAAACTAGAAGGACCAGAACTAGCAAATTAAACCAATAGATATAGAGAGAGAAGATGAGAACAGAATTGGCAGGAAGGTATAAACTGATAGAAATAAAAGAGAAAGAGAGAGAGAGATAGAGAGAGTCAGAGCAACTATCAGAAAGGTATCAACTGAAGCTGCTGGGGCCAGTTTCTGAGGAGAGAATGGATGCTATTTATAGATTTTAGAATGAAGTGCAACCCTTCTCACTTCTGATGTGGGATAAAGACTGCAATTCTTCTCACTTCCCGATGTGGGACAGAGAAAGCAATCCTTCTCATTTTTTGATGTGAGACACAACTTTTGAAATACACTTATATTTTACAACATATTTTATGAGCGTAAACTTCCAGTTAGATTCATAAACCTAAATAGAATATTAGAAAGGTCTGTTTGTTCCAGGTGTACATAGTTTGACTTCAACAAGCACATAGGGAATCCTATTTTGACATTGGCCCTATGAGATGGCTCTTTACAGATTCTAGATCAAATGATCCTATTTCTGACCCTTAGCCCTATTTATTTTTGGACAAAGTTCAAATATGAACCACCAAGTCATATGCCTTATTGTTTACGTCTATCAAACTCAAGTGTCCAATCACGTATGCGCCAATGGCCAAACACATGAAAATACGTCTCAACCACCATCTCAACGTCTACCTAAATCAATCATCTCGATTCTCTTACTTACAGCTTCCATCACCAAAGTAAATGCAAATTCATTTAAGTGCCATATGGTATACTGAGGCACTACCCGGGAAAGTGAACAAGCTGAAATCAGATGACCTGATAGCATCAACTATATTACAAGGTATATGTACTCGATCAGAATATATCAAGAGGAGATTAACTGGTGGGAGCAAGTTGGGATAGTTAGGTAGAGCGTGTGTTGTTTTTGGAATGTTTGAGTGGTGATGTTGCTCTGCAACCCACAAACTCTTAAAGAGTATAGTGGTATTGGATGAGTTATTCCCATTAGCTATTCCCTTATTTTGGTTCCATTTGACCAATTACTTGTTCTTTATGAGTTCTATATTATTGCCCTTGAACAATTTATGTAGCTCAATGCATTTTAAAAATTTTCCAATCCTGTTATTAACTAACATATATATATATATATAAAAGGGGGAATTCCATTCCTCAAGAGGGTGCTTGTGTTGTTGACGTAGCGACGTGTGATTTGCTGGAGAGTGTTCGTTTGAAAATTACTTGGTTTCCAGTGGTAGAGTGAAGGAACCTAGCCACGTAATATTTGGTTGTTTGCCCATGTGACATAAGGTGATTGACTTCATGCGGCAAAATGGAATTGGTGGCAAGTTTAGTGGTCCTTCACTTTTTTTTTTGTTGGAAACACAGATGTGACGTGATTGATTGGAGAAGGTTACCTGTTTCCTGGCTTTTCGGTGACAATAGCTCGAGATTTTCTCTGCCAGACACGCCTCTTCTTCACTCCTTTCATTTGCCATCTGATTTCCTCTTTCCAACCTGTGCTTTCTCTTTCATGTTGTCCTTGTTCTTCATCACGAAGAAAGCTCATGTTTTTCTCTCTTCATTTTCTTTCCCATGGATGACAACAAAATCGAAAACTGGCTGGAACTTTTTTTTTTTCTTCAAAAACTCTTCTTGCTTCTTTCTTCCAAAGCATCTTCATTAGTCTTTTAGTTTTTTTCCTCCTATTATTTACAAGTTTTTTTCTTTCTGATGGACGACAACAAAATAAAAATACTATCTAGAATTTTTTTTTTGCTTCAAAAACTCTTTTTGCTTCATTTTTCCTGAGCATCTTTATTAGCATTTTGGTTCTTCTTTTTTTTTCCTATTATTTACGAGTTTAGTTGTCTAATTTTTTCCCCTTGTGTGATGTTGTGATGCTGAAAGTACATAATTTGGAAATTTTCTCCGCCATCCTCAAGTGATTTTGTAAATTTTTTTTTCCCTTTTGAAGTTAGGTTCCATAAGGTTATTTTTAAAAATGGGTATTCTCACCCCCTCCGCATCTCCAACCCTCTCCTTTTAAAGGAACAAAATAAAAGGAAGAAACTAGAAAAAGCATATTAGTGTTCTTGAAATAAAGCACTTGCTCTTCATCTTTCTTTGTCGTTATAAATTTCTGTCTGAATGTTTATGTTTATTATGTGGGTAGTTTGGTTGACCACTTCTATATATTTCTTGTTCAGTTTCGGAGTATGTGGAAGGCAAATGGCCCTTTAGAGTTGCTGGCTCGCCTGATGGTCTTAGAGAAAGTGCATTACGGAAGCATTTTCGAGATATAATTTATGGTTTGATGTATCTTCATTCTTCATGCAAATGTAAGAGAAGGACTTTTCATTTTTTATTGATCTTATATGTTCACTTTCTTTACTCTAAGCTAACTAACTGGTTCAATCCATTACAATATTATTCTTTCCTTGCATAGAAATAACTTTCCATTTTTTTTAGGGCAAAAAATCTGGGCGGCCATTAAACTTTCTCAGGATCATGTTTTGCCATCGAACTATTTTTTGTCAATAATTGACCACTAAACAACTTAATCAGCCACCCGTGACCATTTCGTCGATAATAGCTCTTAATTTCTGAAATTAGCATTACACGTGGCAAACCACAGGGGCAATTTTGTCCGTCAATCCACTGACCGTTCACTTACATTAATACATCAACTGAAAAGAAAAAAAGAGCGGTAGAAACAAGCCAATTAAACAAACTGAAGTGTCTGGTCTTGTGGAGGAAAAAATAGGGACTCAATTTCCAGCCCTAAATTCTGTGTCAGAAATCGAAGAAGCCAAGAATGTCGAGACGCTCTCCTAAACCCATACCTAGATGCTCCTGCGGATTAACAGCAATGGTGAAGACCTCATGGACAAATTGGAACCCAGCAAGAAGATTTGTGGTCTGCACTTTAGGAGAGGTAAGATCTTAGAGAGGTAAGATGTTAGATTTGTAATGGAAATATTATAACAAGAGGATTTAGTCTTGGAAAATGTAAATTGCAGGATGAGGGATGTGGTTTTTGGGAATGGTATGATCCAACAATGTGCGAAAGATCAACTCAAGTGATTCCTGGTTTGCTGCGAAGAATGAATAGAATGGAAAGTAATATGGAGGAATTAGAAACTTCAGCAAGAAGATGGGAAAATAAAGCTCAAAAATTGGAACTTAAAGTTGCAAAATTGGAGGGTGAAGTGAAAAAGCACAAGACCAGAGAGCACTATCTCAAAAGAGCTCTTCTCGTACATGGGCTTTTATATTGTTGTATTGTTTTTGCTGCTATCTGAAGACTGTTATTAAGAGTGACCATATGTTGGCCATCAAGGGATAGTTAATGTTGTTTGGTGATTGTGAAGAAATGGAGTAGTAAGGTTGAGTGGATACAGCTTTTGGTGGTAGTGTCCGTAGCAATAGCAGACCAAAGATTCCCATGTTGTATTTTATAGTGAATTTTTCATTGGTTTGTTTTCTTATGTAATGGAATCCTTGCTGTAATTGTGTTACTTTTTACTGAATGAATGGATGCAAGTTTTTTGTAGTTTCTTATGAATGCGGCATTATAACACAGTAAATTAAGACAAAAGGAGTATTTCCATTGGATAAAACAACTACAAAAGTTTCCAATTTGCAGAAGTACACAGCTTTCTGTTGAATATGCAAAAAGATAGTGGATGAAAAACAAAAGGCATCCACCATAACAAAACAAAAGCCATCCACTATCAACATGAAGTGGATCCCAGTTAAACTTTAATGCATCTATTTTAACAGCCCACTGAACTTAAATAAACTATTATAAGTCAAAAGACTTATGTACATATCAGTCACCATCATCAACATCTCAGATCACATCTAAAACTGTATCCAATTCCATCTAACTTGCACCTGCACCTCTGCCTCTTGTAGATCTAGATCTAGATCTACCAGCATTTGCACCTCTTCTACCCCTCCACCTACCAACCTTGAAGGGTGGTTCCTTTCCCAAGTAGGCATAGTTAGCATTAATCATCCCTTTGTCAGCATCAGTCAAGGGCCGTTTACCATTTCTGTTGAATTTCTGCCAGATCTAGAACTTGTAGCTGCTGGATCTGGTTGCTGAACTACTGGTATTGGCTGTTGAAGTGGTGGAGTTGGGTGTTGGGACATTAGATCTGATTGCTGAGTTGCAGATGCGATTGGTTGGCTTGGTTGGCTAGCTGATGGAGTTTCCTGTTGCTGTTGCCCTTGGGTCTCTATACCTTGTGACTGAACTACTTTTGCTTGCTGTTTTCTTCTTGAAACCTTGTACAAATGGAAGTTGATTAGAGACTATATGTATGTATACTATATGACATTTGAAATACATTGAACTGTATGTATACTCACATGTTTTTTCTTCTTTGGCTGGCCAGATTGTTGGTGCTCAGTCACCTCTTTGCATGTTGCAGCATTGTGCCCTGTTTTACCACATTTTCTGCAATGCATAGTGACATTTTTTCTAAGTTTTCTTCCATGGTTCTTCCCTTCTGTCTCATCTCTTCTCCTTGCCTTTTTTGGCCTCCCAGGCTGGACAGTGGGAATTGGAGGATCAAGTTGAAGCATGCTGGACTCAGGCCACAGTACTTGGCTGCTGATGGGTTGCAAGACATTATTATAAATCTGTAAAAATAAGCTCTTGTAGTAACATTCCACAATCATTTCATGTGGATCATCCTCAGTTTGCTTAATTGCTGCAATGGCATGGGTACAAGGTAAACCAGATAATTCCCAGATTCGACAAGTGCAACTCTTCTTTCTCAAATTCACAGCAAACTGGGAATTCCTTGGGCCCTTTACCTGATAACCATCAATCCCATTGAACTGTGGGAACCACTGGAAAGACTCTTCAATTCTGTCCTCAATAATTTTTCTAATCAAAGGACCAGTTGAGTGTGGATATCTAGTCATGGCAGCCTTTCTTTTTTGAATTCTTTCCATCATCAGTTCTCTAATATTCTCCAAGCAAGATATAATTGGTTTATCCCTGGCCTCTAGTATATGTGAATTGAAAGATTCGCACAGATTATTGACAATCATGTCACATTTAGTGTGAGGAGAAAAGTAAGCCTTACACCAATGCATCGGATGAGGAGCCTTCTCCACCCACTTGTATGCTTCATTGTCATACTCTTTCAAGTCCTCAGCAGCTTTCTTGTACATCTCAATTGTGCTGCTCCTAGCTATCGCCCACAGCACTTTTCCAGGATGTTTCTTCTTGAAATTTTGATACATGTGCTGCACACAGTATCTATGCTCAGAGTTGGGTAGCACCTCGGATAATGCTCTATCCAATCCCTGCACAAAAATAAATGAATTATTGGTTCAAGCAGCCACAAGTCTCACATCAAATGTTGGATAATAAGATTCATACCTTTTGTTGATCAGAGATGAAAGTGTAGTGACACTGATTATCTATTTTCAGATCCGTTTGGAGAAGTTGTAAGAACCATTTCCACTGTATTGTAGATTCCTTCTCCACTATGGCCCAAGCAATAGGCCACCAACTATTGTTGGGATCAACTGCCACTGCTGATAATAGTTGACCAGGGTAAGGCCCTTTTATATGGCAGCCATCAAGTCCAATCACAGGTCTACACATTTTGAATCCTTCTTTTAGTGCACCTAAACAACAGTACAGTCTCATGAACCTAGGATTCGAACCTGGATCTCTAAATGGAGTGAACTCGACCACCATGGTAGAATTAGTATGAGTCTTCTTAATCTCCTCACAATATTCCCATATATGCTTATACTGCTCGACTGCTCAACCTTTGATTCTGTCAATAGCTATGCCTCTAACATTTCTGGCTATTGTTTTCGATATTTGTATCTTGTACTCCTCATGCACTGTCTGCCTTAAAGAATGAACTAGAATGTTCATATTGGCCCTAATTTTGTCCTCATATCTCTCAGCAACCCATTTAGCAGTCATCATTTTATTTTTCCAGGCATGACTGCAGTTTTCATATAATCATAAAAGGTCTTAATCACCAAATCATTCGGCCCAAGTGCTTTCTCTTGGGAAGCATAACACTCCCAGTTGCATGGATCCTTGCACCTTACCCTTACTCTTAGTTCCTCATTAGTGTAGTACCAAACAGATCTACCATTAGCAATAGAATAATTCTGCATTGCGGCCTTTGAACTCAGCTGATGATGCAAATCGCATCCCAATCTGGAAATGTGGATTTCTCATGTCCTTTTCAACATTGAAGTCAACATATTTGATTCCCTTCTGCACTTCATCATCTCATCAGAAGAACCATCAATGCTATGCAGGTCATCCTCCATCATGTTGTTATGCAACACATCTTCATCAGCAGCTTCTTCCATTTCCTCAGCAGCTTCCTGTGATGATGTGTTATGGTCAACCTGTGCTGATGATGTCTTCTCCCTTCTTGCTGACCACTTTCTTTTTCCTCTTGTTGTTTTTCTAGGATACTTTTCTTTGCTCTCTTGCTGCCACCAGATGATCCATCAGTTGCCTGTGATTGTTTTTCAGCTTGGGCATCATGTTGACCATCTCCATGTGTACCACTTCCAAGCCATTTACACCTTGGCTCTCATGGAGTATAGATTCAGTAGTTCTCCTCATAACAGGAGGGGGAATTTCAACTGTGGGAGTTGGTTTCTCACTCCCAAGCATTTGATCATCTTTGCAAAACTCTTCGTCATCAGTGAAATGCTCCCCTTCTGAGCTGCTGTCATCTTTATCATCTTCTTCACTTGCCCTTGCATTCACATCAGTTTTATCTCCTTGACTCCTACTTTAGACCAGTCCCGCTAGCTTCTCCCTCAATGACAACACTTACTCTTACACCTTCACCTCTACTTGTACCTCCCATTGCTGGTCCAGGGGCAGTCATATTTGTACTAACAAAAGAGCTACCAAAAAGATTTTTTCTAACCACCAATTGTTTATCAAGTTCTACAACTCCACTGCCATTGTTCATCTACAACTACACTACCATGTCCATCAATTTCTTCAATTACAACCCTATTTTTTCTTACTACCTAACAGTGGAAATGTGACTGGATGTCAAGAATTTCATGTAAAGGCCTATGGTCACAGTAAACATCTATCAGTTTGTGCTCGTACGCCCATTTGCACATTGCCACTATATCTGCATCTCCTTGTAACTCTTTTAATCCCTTATTCAAATCACTCCCAGGTTCTAAGTAATAGTAAAGCATTGTACCATTATGTCCTAATTTCTGAACCATGTCATTTATCTCATGGATAGACATTCTCTCCGCATCACACGCATCAACATAATCTATTTCACCACCAACGTATGTTTATACTGATGCCCACTAAATCTACCACCATGAAACATTTTAATACTGAATAGTTCAGAATTAGGCACTGCAATGAAATGGGAAAAAAAAAGGAATCACTTCATTTGAAAAAAAAAAGGCTGAAAAAAACACTTGTTTATTTCAAAATTTCCCACTTTTACAACCGGCAGTTGGATGAAAACCCTAACATTTAAACCCCATAATGCTGCCCATATTCACAACCCACAAATAAGCACCTTCGATTTCAGACACAAACTTGAGTAATACACCCATTACATTTAGTTTAAAGTATAGTTTCAGTTCATTCACATGATTTTCCCCAAAAAATAACTTACCGTAAATTTCATATGGATCAATGTCGACGTCTCTTCTCCTGATGATCCACTCCATAGATTCACCATGATTTTCCCTTCTCTTCGATCTTCAAAACCCTTCTCTTCGATCTTCCTACAACGATTTTGAGAACTTCAGTTTGTTTAATTGGCTTGTTTCTACCGCTCTTTTTTTTCTTTTCAGTTGATGTATTAATGTAAGTGAACGGTCAGTGGATTGACGGACAAAATTGCCCCTGTGGTTTGCCGCGTGTAATGCTAATTTCAGAAATTAAGAGCCATTATCGACGAAATGGGCACGGGTGGACTGATTAAGTTGTTTAGTGGTCAATCATTGACAAAAAATAGTTCGATGGTCAAAACATGATCCTGAGAAAAGTTTAATGGCCGCCCAGGTTTTTTGCCCTTTTTTTTAAAGTTTTGTTGTGATACTTGCAGTTGCACAATTTACTTGATGAAAAACTACTAAAATCGATTTTTTTTTGTTTTCTGACATGCTTTGAAATACCTTTGACTGCTAATGCATTGTGCATGAAGTAGATGTTAATCTTCTTTGTGGTAGTTTTGAGCTCAAAGCCATCCAAAATAGAGCTTCTTAGTGTAGTTGATGATCATATTTCAGTTTTGTTCACTACCAAGCATTGTAAGGGATAGGATTTCCATTTTTGTCTTCTACTTGCCAATGCATATTGTTGCATCCCGATTAAGGTCTGTTAGATATGTAATCACAAAAATTTCTTATTATTCGGTAGTATCCTAGCTTGTGTTAAGACTACCCTTGCCAATTGTGCGTTTTACATGGTTTTACAGTCTGTATTCTCCTTAATTATTGCATTCTATAAGGCAATATAAGCTCTTCCCCTTTGACGGACTGCTACTTAAGCTTATAGATTACCTCAAATAATTTTGCAATTTGAATCATTTAGGAAATTTTTTTCCTGATGTTGTTCTGTTGTAGATAGTTTATGGTATTCTTACCTTCATCTGAGATTCTGGTAAGATTGAAGTCTCAAAACTTGAGTGCTCTTGTAAATTATTTCACCTACTTATGTGCCTATAATTTGCTGAAGAAAATGACCATTTGTTTTCTCCTATGATGTCTTACGTATTCAACTTAACCTAAGCTTTTGTCTTCTATATCGTTTGCATAACATTAAAATGTTCTAATGTTTTGCACTAATTTCTTTCCAATTTCACAGATTGTAGTGCATGGTGATATTACAGCTGATAATCTCTTGGTAGCTGCTTCTGGGATTGTGAAGATTGGTGATTTTAGTTTTAATCAGGTTGTTAAGGTAATGCACTGCAGTTTTCGCAATATTTTTACATTAAGGGGATCCTTACTTGGTAGAAGAACTATGTGTCTATGCCTGCACACTGACATCTGGATGTTGTTGTATATTCCTCTCTATAAGAGCTCCACTTAATTGACTGTAGCTTTTTCATCTTGTATATCATGCGCAGTTATCACCAGAAAGACAGAATTTGAAAATGTTATTTTTGTTGTGTGGTTGTTGAAGAATTTCCAGAATGCCTGATCATGTTCCATTGAGGTGGTTTTGTGCACACCTATAAATGCCTTTCAGTAAGGCACATAAGAAAGATTAATTAAGACTAAATTTTTTTCTCTAGACCAAAAAAATGCCAAACATAAAGTAAGAAATAGTCTTTCTTTTTTTGTTATAGCACATTTTTGATATCTTTTCTTTGTTAGAAATAACCCTCAATTTTGTTGGATTGCGAGGATCTCCTATTGAGCAATATGGTGGGTTTGTTTTTGTGACCGGTGATTGTTGTTTTATTTTATAGCTTTGCATTCTAATTTTGGTTTGTTATGTTCTCTTAACCTGCTTTTACTTTTATGATGATAACAATGAACTTCGCTGCTCTACTGGGATTCCTATTTTTACCATACCAGAGTGCTGTTTAGGTAGTTGTATGATTGATGCTGAAGTATGCTAGACCTGAGGCTTCATTTCTGCATACTTACGTACTTGGCCCTATGTATTTACATCTTTTTTTTGGGTTAATTAGGTTCAACCTATCATACCAAAGTTGTTGACATGTTGGTAGTTGGGTTCACACGCATGATAATGTATTCCCACTGCCTCCTCACGTAAAAATGTCCTGTAAAGAACAGGAATGCTTGTTATTCTTTTTGTGCCTTGTTCATTTACTGGTTTCTATAGTTATTTGTAATTGGAGATTTGCACTTTTCGTAGATTGTTCTTGTATATCCCTAATGGAATGAATCCCCTGCTAAAAGACTTGATTGAGGGGCTTTTCTACAAAGGTTTGTCTCTAGATTATTAGTGCTCCATGTGTTTGATTAGCTGATGATACTTAGCAGTTGATTTCCACACACATACTGCCATTCCATTCTTGTGTTCTCTTTTCCTTCTCATATGGTTTTGGTTCATGTGAATCATTGAAAACGAGATTAGAAACTTCGAAAACAATCTCTTTACTACAAAACTTTTAAAAGCTGATAATTTTAATATTTGTCCCTGACCTTTTGGTGGTGTATGGTAAGGTTTTTGCTTTGATGGTTAGATGAAATTTGGCCAGGACCCTTGAGAAAATAAAAAATAGGCTAGAGAGAAAAAAAAATGAAATTAAAAAAGAAGGGAAAAAAACACAAAAGGCTAGAGAAGCTTTGGAAAAAAGAAGGAAAAACAAATTTTGAACTGAAGGGAAAAATCCCAACCAATGGCTCCGTTTTTTTTAATGTGAAAAAAGATGATGAAAATTGAAGAGGAAGTAATGGTGATTTAATGGAGGTTCTGATATTTCCCTATGGTTCCAGATGTTTTACTGAAAACATTAACCTCAAAGGTTCATTTTACCCACCGTGTGATTATTTTTTAATCAATTTTTTCCAGCTCTTTTTTTCCCCTTTTTTTGGGTCTTCTTAAACCTGTTTGCATCTTCTTTAATGGCAGCTAGATGATAGAAGAAGAATGAACAACAACTGATGGCAGGTTTTTCTTTTAAACCATATGTGTGTTTTTTTCCAAAAATGTTTGTTGAATTCGTAGCTCACAAAGAGCATTCTTTTTGGTTC